GATAGATAGATAGATAGATAGATAGATAGATAGATAGATATAGATATAGATATAGATATATAGACAGACAGAGAGACAGATATAGATATAGATATAGGTATATAGATATAGATAGATAGATAGATAGATAGATAGATAGATAGATAGATAAATTGAGAGAGAGAGAGAGAGAGAGAGAGGGAGAAAGAGAGATAGAGATAGATACATACACACTATATAAACACTGTAGTCTCCTGGCTAATGTACCATTGCCATACACTAAATGAATAAATTATTAACCAATGATCTGTCTAGTATAAGAAAGGCCAGCTAGTAGGAAAATAATGCAGAATCAAATAACATTTAATATTAATTACATTAAAAAGGGATTTATAGCAGCTCAGGAGAAGGTTTTGATCAGAAGAAGGCTGTGGGATAGAAAGTCTTTGGCATGAATATCTACAAGCCATTTATGGGAGATCAGCGAATTCCTAGAGAGAACACAGAAGCCCGTGAAGAGAACAAAGCCCAACGCACACAATTACCTCAAACAAATGACGTCAGTGTTGCGGGTGAAAATTCTTGCTATTAACATTGCCAGGTCATTGGCTTCAGTGCCACTGTTAGTCAGATAAGCTACCTGTGACAAAGATTGTGACGGAAATACATTGTTAAAAAAGAGACCGAAGCTGCCACATACTGTATCTAAATCCATGCACAATTACCAACCCAACCCAATGCAGTATAAAGTTATTGTACAGGTAGCCCTCAACTTATGACTACAAATTGAGCCTAAAACATCTGCTGCTAAACAAGTTGTTAAGTGAGTTTTGTCCCATTTCATGACTTTTCTTGCCACATTTGTTAAGCTTTGGTAATGCGGTTGCAAAGCGGCTGTCAGGCTGGGAAGCCATCTTTTACCTTTTGGACTTCAGGCCTGCCACATTTTCTGCTGTGGGAAAATGCGAGGGGGGATTATATGGAGTGTGGGTGATATGTAGCCATAACAACATTTTTTTCTCAGAGATCAAGGCCACCTTGCCCTGCAGCTGCGATGAGGTGACTGGGAGGCATCTCTAGTTTTGGACGGTGCCTGATTGGACCATGTGATGTTCATGTGGGTGCTGGGCAAGGAGTTGAACTTTCATTTGGGTGGGGAAAACCTGGAAGCTTTCAGATTCGGGTTTTCCCAGATGTGCCAATATGACATCTTTAATAAAATGGAACTTTGAGAAAACTCAACCTTCGGAGTCTTCCTTTGTTGGTGTTACTTGGAACCCTGACGGCGAAACTGGTTTTCCATTAACTTTGCTTGGTAAAAGGTCACAAAATAGGATCACATGAGCCCAGGACATGGCAAATGTCTTTGACCAAATATCTGAATTTTGATCAGATGACCCTGGGAATGCTGCAATGGTTATAAGTGTGAAAAGCAGTCAGAAGTCACTTTTTCAGCACTATTGTAATTTTAAATTACTAAATGAATGGTTGTACAGTAAATCAAGGATTACCTGAATCTACCTTTCAAAATATGTTTTGCATTGCTGATCGTGATTTATTCTCCGGGCTTCCTGTTTAGCTTCCGAACATTTTGTCACCAGGCTGGATGACATCCTCAGCGGGACTTCGGTTGAAGCGCCTTGTTTCGGTTCTTCTCTGCTTTTATTGATCTTATGGGGTCATGGGATTGGTAGGTCATGTGACCAGCTGGTCATGCCATGTGATATTCCATGTGACTGGCTGGTCATTATGTGTATCCAGAACAAAAATTATTGGCCATGCCACCACATGCATGAATGCATTGAAGCCTGGTATTCACCTGATGTTTTCACTGCTGTGTGCAAAACGTGTCCTTGAACATGCAACAGCGCACACACGTGTGCCCACACCCATAATGCAATGTGTGCACAACACCCTCCCACTCGGGCCACCTCCTGCGCATGTGCATATGACCCCTCCACGCTTCCCCATCCCCCCGTACATGCATGTGCGACCCCTAGTGGCCCATATTGGGGCTAGCAGGCAACCCTGAAGCCTCCTGGGAACAAAAACGAGGCACGGGGGGCATCCCCTTCCCCCCTGGTGCATGCACTTGCAACCCCCTGCCCCCCATGCATGCACGGCAGAGACCCAAAAATCAGCTGCCCAGTGGGAGGCGCGCCCGCACGCAAGGTGGAGCACATCTGAGGTGATGTTTCACATGCCTGCACAGAGGGCTCTGCGTGCCCCCTGTGGCACATATGCCATAGGTTTACCATCACGGTGATAGTGGATCTATCAACAAATATGTCGACTTGGAGTTAGCCTAAGGAGCCGTATCAATCAAGTGACCAACCAGCGTCTACCTCTTCCCTTGGTGACCTTCACACATCATGACCAGCTAGTCACACAACCCACATGGGATGAATAAAAGCAGAGAAGAATTGAAATAAGATGCTTCAACCAAAGTCCCACTATGGATATCACATAGCCTGGTGACGAAAAGTTTGGAAGCTAGACAGCAAACTTGGAAAACAATCCAACAACAACACCTACCACTCAAATATTTTCTATCATTTCTAATATATTTTGTATTTTCCACGGCTCCAATTCTCTGATTGTCACCATAACTCCAATTGGATTCTGTGTTCTTGGATGGGCTGCACCAAGGGAGGCTCATTCAATTTCATTGTACATTGGATATTGTTGTGCATTGACAATAAAGGTTTGATTGATTGATTGATAACTCATAAACTAAGTTATCTGATTCTGATATTAGAGCCCAGTTTCTTTTCCCGCTACATAAATAAACATTCACAACATGCACCCACACCAAGCCCTCTGAAGCAGTCCTGATGATGATGCCCAACCTGACACACCTTTAAGGAGCCGGGAAGCAGCGAAGTCAGCTTCTTGGCATATTCTTGGATTCCTGGATGCAAGTAGATGTTACTTGTATGTCCCAGGCGGCCGAGCTGTTTCTGAGCTGCTGCTGTTACCTTCCTGGATTCATTGGGGAGAAAAAATGGCACTTCAATCTAATTGGTGGCAATGTTGGTCCTTAATTAAGAAGATAAGGCTTGAAGAAGCATCTCTCCTCTTGAAAATTAAGGTCTGGGGCAGAGGTTGGCAACCTTAAACACTCAAAGAGCCACAAAGATCCTAACTGGGAGTCCGTCATTCAATTCTGGAGCCAACCAGAAGTCTAGTTCCCCCAACATAGAATCTCCTCCTAGAACGGCATCCTTTTTCTTTTTACCAACCGGAAGTCCAGTTCCCCCACCATAGAGTCTCCTCCTAGCACGGCATCCTTTTTCTTTTTACCAACCGGACGTCCAGTTCCCCCAACATAGTGTCTCCTCCTAGCATGGCATCCTTTTTCCTTTTACCAACCGGAAGTTTGGTTTTCCCCACCATAGAGTCTCCTCCTAGCACGGCATCCTTTTTCCTTTTACCAACCGGAAGTATAGTTCGCCCCCACCATAGAGTCTCCTCCTAGCATGGTGTCCCTTTTTCTTTTTACTGATCGGCGACAGGGAGCCATAGCAGAGGGATGAAAGAGCCACATGTGGCTCCAGAGCCATGGGTTGCTCACCCCTAGTGGAATGGTGAGATTGTAACATAGCTGGGGGGGAAACCATTGGGGACTTTGTTGCGGTGGTCTGTCTTTGAACCCGCTTTTCCCAGAAGTCATGTTTGGTTACTTCCTGCAGTTCCTGCTTCTTGATGACTGATCTTCCATTCTCACACCTGGGACCTAACCAGAGGTGGGTTCCTACCGGTTTGGACCGGTTTGGTTGATTAGGTAGTAACTTGGCCGGACACACCCCTGAACTAGTCCTCTGCGCATGCACAAAAGCAAATTTTTATTACTTTGCATGCACGCGTAGCATGCATTAAACATGCGCATGCGGAAAGCGTGTCCCTGAGTGAACTGGCAGTAACAGAAGCAGGAACCCACCCCGGACCTAATATCTGAAAACTGTTTCCTCTTGATACCTAAAGTGACTATCTGTCCGTCTTATTATAAACACTGTGTGGCTGAACTGAAGGTGTAATCTGAATTCATAAAAGGCATTATATGAATCAGTGTCTGGTTGTGTAGAAAGGAAGGTTGGTTTCTCAGGCTGAGAAATGTGGAAAGTTTTAGGGAATGATGCTCGGGTAAATGAAATTAAAGTTCCTTTTCTTTTTCCTCCTGTTTTTAATTTATTTTGCTTACTTCTCCTGGATCTCTTTCGATGCCTTGCATAATGTTGTTTACCCAAAAGGAAATGTTGGATAAATAAAAATGCATGTATGTATATTACAATTTTTCTTTGTTTTTATCCTGAAATGTCACCAGTCACAAGATGTTTTTTTAACTAGTGCGCAGGCTGTATTTAAAAATAGCAACAACAACAACAACAGTGAACTAAAATATTGTATAATTTACACAAATGGAAACAATCTTAGGTCACTAGAAAATGAAATGTTATAGGACCACTTTCAGAAGTACAATATCTTTAGATAAATAAAACATCACCGTGGATATTTCTCTGCTCTTAAGTCCAATTAAATAAGGATTATGCCTGTTCAAAGCAGCTGTGACGTCAGAGAAGTCTATGGAGATTCTCAATCATCCAAATCTTGGTTGTCCCAAAGGTGTTTTTTCCAAAATGCAACTGGACTTTTTTTTTTCTTTGAAAACCTTTCAAAGAAAAACTAGAGAAGCTTCCTGGATGAAAAGTGAAAAGTTTCCAAGGGGAAAAAAACTGTTGCCTTTTGGAAAAAAAATCACCTTTGGGATGATGTCAGAAAAGGTAAGTCAATAGCAACACAAGAAAAAGAATATTATTAATGTAATAACAGCGGCTAGAATTACGTATGCACAAAATTGGAAAAACGGAAGCATACCTACAGAGGAAATGGTAATAAAGAAAATATTAGAATGCACCGAAATAGAGAGGTTAACGATGCAAATTAAAGACAAAGGAGAAACAGAGTATTATTTAATATGGGACCTATGGTACAATTGGTAAGAGATGCAAAGGTTAGAAAATTAATAATGAAAGACAATCAACAAGCCAGAAATAAATACAGGTATAAAGCTGTATAGAAGAATACGTATTGTAAGCAATATTACTACCAGACTGTACAAAAGTGTAAATCAAAATATATAGAATGATAAAGGTATAGAGAACTATGTTAGAACCATGGAAAAAATACATATAAGTATGTCTTATAATGCCAAGTTTCTATATATTTTCTCTTTTTTCTTCTTTTTTTTCTTCTAAGGAGTATATTGTATGAATAAGAGAAAAATGGTTGTAATTAGTATGTATAACATCATGTATATTTTAAAAAGTGCTGATACAACCAGTTCCAAAGTTGAAATTGTGATGTAAAATGAAGAAAAACATACAGTATGTATGTATGTATGCATGCATGCATGCATGTATGTAATAGAATAGAATAGAATAGAATAGAATAGAATAGAATAGAATAGAATAGAATAGAATAGAATAGAATAGAATAGAATAG